TTAATTCTTTTTTGAAGATATCATGAAGGGGAATAGCTGGGTCAAATGGACCTATAGTTTTAGGTTTTGAGGAATCTCCACACTGATTTCTGTAGTGGTTGCACCAGTCTGCACCCCCCATCAACAGTGGAGAAGGGTTCGTGTTTCCCGCAGCCCTGCTCGCCTGTTGTTAGTTGATGTCTTTTTTTGTCGTTTTCCTTTTTATTGGTACCGGGGATCGAACTCACGACTGCCTGCTTACAAGGCAGGTGCTTATGTGGCTGAGCTTTTAAATCCCCAGCCCATTAGTTGATATCTTGATAATAGCCATCTTTCTTCTCTCAGTGAGATGGAATATCAGTTTTTTGTTTTGTTTTTGGCATATCTTGAATCACCAGTGATGTTGAACATCTTTCCATATATTTATTTGCCCTTTGCACCTCTTAAAAAGTGTTTGTTTAAGATGCCCAGTTTTGGATTAGGTTTCTAAATTTGGAAAGTCTTGATTTTTTTGAGTTCTTTTATATATTCTAGATATTAGTCCTTTGTCTGAGGAACAGTTAGCAAACATTTTTTCCAATACAGTGAGTTGTCTCTTCAGTCTGTTGGTGGTTCCTTTTGCTGTGCAGAAGCGTTTCAATGAGATCCCAGTTGTTGCTTTGTGATAGTTTCTGTGGGATTGGGGTTTTGTTCATAAAGTCTTTGCCTACTCCAATGTCTTCAAGAGTTCTACTTATTCTATCTTCCAGTAGATTTAATGTTTCTGTTTTAATATTAAGATCTTTGATCCATTTCCACTAGTTTAGTGCATGGTGTCCAGTTTTAATCTTCAGCATGTAGAAAGCCAGCTTTTCCAGCACCATTTATTAAAGAGATTGTCATTCTTCCAGAGAGTGTGTTTGGCACCTTTCTCAAAGATAAGGTGACTGAGTATGTTTGGAATTGTTTCATCATTTATAGATATCTTTCATTGATCCTCAGGTCTGACTTTTGTCAGTACCATGCTGTTTTAATCACGGTAGCTTTGTTGTATAATTTCACGTCAGAGATTGTGATACCCCCTGCCTTGCCTTTGTTCCCCAGAATTGCCTTTGCTTTTCTAGGTCCCTTCTGGTTCTAGATGAATTTTAGGATTGTTTTCTCTAATTCTGCAAAATATGCTGTTGGAATTTTGACTGGGATTGCATTAAATCTGTATTACAGTTTTGGAAGTATAGCCATTTTCACCATATTGGTTCTTTGTACTCGAGCAAGGAATATCTTTTGATTTTTCTGAAGTCCTCTTCAATCTCCTTTTTTAGAGTTATATAGTGTTCATTATAGAAGTTTTTTACTTTGGTAGATTAATTCTTAGACATTTTGGGGCTGGGGATTTAGCTCAGTGGCATAAGTGCCTGCCTGGCAAACAGCAGTCGTGAGTTCAATCCCTGGTACCAAAAAAAAAAAAAAATCCTAGACATTTTATTTTTTTGGATGCTACTGTGAAAGGTGTTATTTCCCTGATTTCTCTCCCAGTGAGTTTGTTGTTTGCGTAGTGGAATGCTATTGATTTTTGAGTGTTAACTTTGTATCTAGCTACGTTACTGAATTTGGTTATTAAATCTACTGTTTTTTGGTGGAATTTTTGGAATTTTCTATATGCAGTATCATATCATCTATAAATAATGATAATTTAACTTCTTTGCTTATCCTCCTTTCTTTTATTTCTCTTTCTTGTCTAATTGGTCTGGCCAGTGTTTCTAGAACAATATAGGAGTGGTGATAGTGTATGTCATTGTCTTATTCCTGATTTCACAGTAAAAGCTTTCAGTTTTTGTCTCGTATGATGTTGGCTGTCGGTTTGTCATAGATGTCTTTAATCACACTGAGATAAAGACCATTCTAATTTTCTGTAGGGTTTTTATCATGAATGGAATCAAATGATTTTTCTGCATCCATTGAGATGATCATAGGTTTTTTGTCCTTGGCTTTGTTAACATGGTGTATTACATTTATTGATTTGTGTATTTTGAACCATCTTTGCATTGCTGGGATGAATCCTACTTGGTCATGGTATATCATATTCTTGATGATTTGCTGCATTCTCTTTGCCAGTATCTGATTGAGGATTTTTGCGTCTGTTTAGGAGGGAGATTGGGCTATAGTTCTCTTTTCTTGGCTCAGTCCTTTTTCTGGTTTTGGTATCAGGGTAATACTTGCTTCCAGGAATGAATCTGGGCATATTGCTTCCCTTTCAGTTTTATTAAATAAACTGAGAAGTTGCAGCATTAGGTCTTCTCTAAATTTCTTGTAGAATTCAGCAGTGAATCTGTGAGGACCTTGGCTTTTCTTGTTGGGAATTACATCTTCAATTTCACTGATTCATAGTGGTTTATTTAGAACTTTTTTATCTTCTTGATTCAGCTTTGGTAATTCATACATGCCTAGGTAATCTGTCCATTTCTTCTATTTTCCATCATATTAGAATACAAGTTCTTGAAGCAGGATTGATCTTCTGGATTTCTGTTAGAGTCTGTTGTGATTTCACCCTTTTCACTCCTTATTGCATGGAGAGTGCTATTTAATTTCAAGATGTTTATTAAGTACTTGTGATTTTTTTTGCCATCATTTCTAAATTCATTGCACTATAATCTGATGATATACATGGGGTAATTTTAGTTCTTTTGCATTTACTTAAGCATGTCCTAAGAGCTAGTATGTGGTCTGTTTTGGAGAAATGCCATGCAGCTCAGAAGAATGTGTATTTTGATGTGGGGTAGAACATTGTAGATGTCTACTAAGTCTGTTTGTTCAAAAGTTTAGTTCAATTCTGATAACTTCTTGATTTTTTTTTTTTTTTGGTCTAATTGATTTGTCTGTTTGTGGCAGTGGGGTATTGAGGTCCTGCATTCCAGTTGTATTAGTACTTACTTGATTTTTCAAGTCCATTAATATTTGTTTTATATAGTTGAGTGTGCTGGTATTTGGTGCATATATATTTATGACTGTTATCACTTGCTCTTGGATTGTTCCCTTCACAAGCATATAGTGACCTTCTTTGTCTCTCCTAATCAGTCCTGACCTGAAGTCCACTGTTTTTTTTTTAAATGGAATAGCTACCTCTGCTTTCTGGTTTCCTATTATGTGGAATATTTTTTTCCATCCTTTGACTTTCAGTCTATGAATTTCTTTTTGAATTAAGTATGTTTCTTGAATACAGAATATTGTTTAATCTTATTTGATCTATTCTGCCAGTCTGTTTCTTTTGATTGTTAACCGGAGACCATTAAAATTGATGATTGTAACTGATATTTATTGTCTTGTCATGTTATTTTCCTGTTGTTAGTCCATTTTTTTTTTCTCCTCTGTTCAATTGCTTGTTTTGCTTGGTGGAGTTACTCTGTTGTGGTCATGGAGTTGTAAGCCCTTATTTTCTCTTTCAAGAATGTTCTTCATTTTGGAGTGCTAGTTTGGTATTCATGAATTTCTTCAGATATTTTTCATAGTAGTATCTTTTTTTCGGTCCCGGGGATTGAACTCACAACCTCATGCTTACCAGGCAGGCACTTATGCTGCTGAGCTAAATCCCCAGCCTAAGGTATCTTTTTCCATCAGTTTTTTTTTGTTTTGTTTTTGAGACAGGGTTTCACTGTGCAGTTAAGGCTGGCCTTGAGCTCCCTTATAGCCCAGGCTGCTTTTGAACTTGCAGTGGTCCTCTTACCTTAGCCTCCCGAGTGCTAGGATTACAGGTGTGTGCCACCATACCCAGCTCTCCTCTGGAGTTACAGTCTTTATTATCTCTTTCTGGAATGTTCTTCAGAACATTTTGCAGCGCTGATTTGGTGGTCGTGAATTTCTCCAGGTGTTCTTTGTCGTGGGGGTTTCTTACTTCTCCATCAATTGTGAAAGATAGTTTAGTGGGATACATTAACTTGAGTTGAAAGAACAACTGACCTAGATCAATTATGTCACCTTGGCTAAAATAGTATAACCAGCAATAACAACAGCATCAGTCTAGAAAATGACAAACTGGTAACTATTAATTTGCCACCTTTAACTGAATGGACTAGATTTGTGATGATACAATAAAATCTAAAACAAACCAGAAAACTGAATACTGTGAATAAACTCTCAATATGGTGATTTTACTCTCAGGGGAGAGAATTTAAAAGGAATGGGGAAGACAGAATGGAGAAATAGAAGATTAGAAGAATCTGAATAGAAGAAGGGAGACTGCAGGACAGAGAAAGAGTACACAAACTGGGAAACTTGTGACAGGAGGGAGCAAAGAAAGAAATGAAAATAACAGAAGAACAACAACAAGAAAGTAGAAACAGTGTTCACACTCATAAAAACAAGATCAATCAGTGAAAAAAAACAGGCAAGAAGGAAAAAATGTCTATTTCAGAGTGTGTCTGTTGTCATTGGTAGACAGAGTAGGGAGACAAAGATCCATGTTCATGAACCCCAGCAAGCCAGCCTAGGTTTACAGTGGGGTAGCAGACGCCTCTGCCCTGCCCTGCCGAGCTTCCCTGCCCTGCCCTGCCGAGCTTCCTGGGGGGAGACAGTGGCCTACACAACTCCTTCATTACCTCAGCAGGAGACTTGAATGCCCCGCTGGGGGAGGTCAGTGGTAACAGGAGACGACCAGGGTCCAGGGTTGAAAGGGAACAGCGCTGTTTCTCCATTCTTTAGGTACTGTACCATTTATCGGACCCCTCTCTCCTGCAGTTTTGCCCCCAGGTTTCTGTATAACTAATTCTCAGGTTCCTGACTTCCCTTAACCCCTTCCTATGGAGATTTGGGATAAATGCGGTACTTTTCTCACTTACCTTGTAATGGTTGTGTGCTGTGCTGTGACCATAGAAAGGAAGGACGGCTCTGCTGTTGTCCACTAACCAGCGTGGGACTTCAGACAGATCTTAGCTTTACATTGCAGTTTCAGAGTTGCTGAGCCAGGCAGGGGAATGATGTCACAGATATTGAATGTGCAGAAAGGAATGTGAATTCAGACTGATGAGAGCTTGCTTTTCTTTTTGCAGGAAAGATGCAAATTCTGCACTGCTCAGTAACTACGAGGTAAGTAGCTTTGAGTGAACTTTTTCCTCTGTTGGTGTGCCCTTTATGAAGATGCTTAAAGTAGGACTGATGCACTGTCTGGTGGATCTGGGAATATTCTAAGTTTAATAAATTATATGCAGGGAAACTGGGCAGGCTTTAGTTTACAGTGGGCACCTTTCCCTATGTGCCGTAGATTCTGCATTATGACTTGGGATCCCTTTGTGGAACAGAGGCACCTATTTTAGAACTATTTCTGTCTGTAAAAGTTTCCCAGTATAAAAGTCATACCTTTTCCTCATTGCCATCTTTTGCCTGTGTGTTTTAACATATTATCACTTTGATTCTCAAGTAGTCTCAAAGACAGTAGCATCCTTATTTTGAAAGTGAAAGTTTAGTTCACCATTATGAATAAGTGGAAATAAGCAGATTTTTATAATTTTGAGGGTTTGAGGATGTAACTGCTAGGGAAAAGAAGGAAAGAGAAAGGGGTTGGTGAGAGAGGAAGGGTAACAAAGTCTTGACATACCTCCGGCTTTGTGTGGCCCCACTGTGCCCGTGTAGAAAGAACACTCATACATTCACGTCACTTTCCCAGATGTCAGAGTCTAAACTCATAAAGACTTTGAGGAGGTCTCAGTCTCTGCTGTGTGACGCCTGTAAAATGATGTGGTTGTTGCCAGGCCTGTGGCTTTTGGTTTCCTTGTGCAGCGTGGACTTGCTAGGGGTTTCACTGTTCGTCCCCTGGGGAAATGCCACACCACTGGATCTCGGCCACTGCTTCTTAAAGGAATAGCAGGCAGAGAAAGGGGTGCGTTCTTATAGGAACAGGCTGTGAGCCTGCTTCTCTCAAGTAGAATCTCAGAAACAGGGCAGAGATCTCACTGACATCCACCCCAGGGTTAATGCCTGTTTTTCCCGCACAAGGAAACTTTACTTGCAATCAGTAGCACCCCATCCCTGCAGTTATTTGTATGTTTTCCACCGTGCTGGGATTGTGGATGCTAGGTAAGTGCTCTGCCATGGGTTAAATCACCCGGCCTCCTTTATGTTATTTATTTATTTTGGTACCGGGGATCGAACTCATGACCTTATACTTGCCAGGCCGCCTTTATTTTTTTTTAACGTCTTTTACCTTGTAATTTTTCTTTTATAAAAGACATTATGCTAGATTTAAATATGAGAACGCTTTAAAAATATATTTATTTTAGGAAGATTTATTCTCCAGTAGTATGATTTTGAGGTCAGAGATTGGTGATATAGTATATATTGATAGGGAACACTTGAAATATTTTAAGGAAGCTAATGCGTTTGCATGATTTGCCTCAGATAAGTAACATTTTTAAAATGTCACATGCAGCCTATGTATGGCACATTGGTAACCTCAGTGGCTCTGGAGGCTGGGGCAGGAAGATTTGAAGTCTGAGGCCAGCCTGGGTAACTAAATGAGATTTCCCCAAAAGAAAGAAAGGAAAAATCAGGGCTGGAGCTGAAGGTCTTGAGTCAATCCCCAGGTACGCCTTCCTCCCCCATATTTGCTCTAAAGTAAGACTTAGAGACGAGTTAAGTGTGGGCTGGGGATACAGCTCAGTGACATAAGCGCCTGCCTGGTGAGGTCATGAGTTTGATCCCTGGTACAAACAAAACAAAACAAAACACCAAAAAGCTGTGATATGCTGCATACCTGTAAACACTCAGGAGGCCGAGACAGGAAGATCACCCCAGGTTCAGGGCCAGCCTGGTCTACATACTGTGGTGAGTTTAAGGCCAGTTTGGACTACATAGCCAGAGTCTGTCTGAAAAAAAAAACTTCAGTCATCAAAACCTTTTTCATATCTCTTCCTAGGTGTTCCAGTTACTGACTGATCTGAAAGATCAGCGTAGAGAAAGCGGGAAGATGAAGCATAGTGCAGGGCAGCAGAACCTGAATACCATCACCTATGAGGTGAGTCCGGGCTCTTGCAGCCCCTGGTGGAACTGCCCATGGTGGGGCCCCTTCCACTGGTGACTGCCAACCAGGCAGGATCTCCTCTTGCCTGACCTCAGTAGATCTGCTGTGACCTGGCGTCTATTCTGTTCACACAGTGGGAAGAGTCTGGCCAGTGGCAAGAATTAGTTATTCACAGAGATACAGACTCCTTGGAAACACTGTTTGCAAGTTGGGGATCCCCACCTGGAAGCCCACTCTGGTATGGTAGTTCACTTGCAGGGCTCATAGGAGTCGCTGAAAGCTGCTATATTCATTGTGTATTTATTATCAGGATTACAATCAGCCAAGAGAGGAGGATCGTAGGGGCAGAGTCCCGTCATCCTCTGCCGTGAGGTCAGGAATGGCCCTGTCCTGAAATCAGTGTTCCAGTAGGTACCAAGTGTTCCCAGCCAGGGAAAACAGCCAGGCCTTGGGATCAGGGTTCAGACAAGCAGCCAGTGCCACCCGAAAGCTATTCAGACAGCCACCTTTTCCCCTCGGTCACACTATCGGCTGTCCAGTGTGACCAGAGGGCGCAGAGACTGATGGACACACATTCTAGGGCCCACACTTTGTGTCCCAGGAGCCTTAAGACAAAGACTGGGACTTCTATTTGTGCAAGGCCTGATTCTTTATTTCACAGAAAGCAGTACTTATTTTGAAGCATTAAGCCGGGTGTGGTGACACATTCCCATGATGCCAGCGCTCAGGAGGCTGAGGCAGGGCTGCACCACAACTGCAAGGCCAGCCTGAACTACATAGTGAGGCCTTGTGTCAAAAAAAAAGAAAAAGTGCTAGATTCATAAAGAAGAAAGCAGATGTACTTTATCGTTTTAATATTAGTCGACATTTTGCTGTGTTCTGTCCTGATTTTTATACTTTGTCCTTAAAAAGAAAGTTTATGCTATTATATTTGTTATATGATGTTTGATTTGTGTGTGTGTGTCTTTTTCTTTCTTTTTATCGGTACTGGGGATCGAACTCACGAACACACACTTGCAAGGCAGGCGCTTATGCCGCTAAGCTAAATCCCCAGCCCCCTATGTTTGATTTTTTTTTAATACATCATTTTAATTTAATGCTTTCTTCCTATTTCCTTTCAATTCTGAGGTTTGGTTTTGTTTTTTGCCCTCTGTAAAGGATTTGGTTTTAATTACCTTAAATTTATCTTTTCAAAAATTTTATTAAACTTGGAATCAAGGGGTTAGCACTCTCATGGAAGTTCCTCCTCTTCCAGCTTTGCTCACTTAATCGTGTTTAAAACCCTTTTCATCTTCTATTTATTCATGTTCTCTTTCATTATTCAGGTTATGTCTCAGAGAAGAAACTCTATTTGTTGGCAGTTTGGTAACCACATTTCATGCATGCAGTTCTTGAGGTTCTTGGGGTGGAGGATGAGAAAATCAAGAAAAAACAAAGCTGAGGTCAGGTGGAGACCTTGTCCTCCTCAGGGGAAGAAAGGCACTGCTCAGCCCTGCAGCAGGTTTGTTTATACACAGGAGGAGGATGGCAGTGTCAGCCCCTCTGCCCAGCAGCTTGTTTGCCTGGCTGGCCTGGGCCCTGGCCTGCTTGCAGCTGGAACAGCTTGTGTATGTGGCTTATTTGGGGCTCTCTGTGTTCGCAGGGCTGGTCTTGCTTTAGCCCCACACATGTGCTCAGTCTCCAGCTTGAAGGCTGCCTACAGTGGTATAACTTTCCTCTGTGTGTTTAATCTGGTGAAACTCACTGGAGCTCTGTTCCTAAATTCTTACTTCTAATAGGTGGGACTGGGAGGAAAGTTGTGCGTAAGATGTGTAGTATATGTGCTGCCAGAGCGAGCACAATGTCAGATTTTTTTTTTGTTTTGTTTTGTTTTGTTTTGTCTTTTTGTCTTTTTCATTTTATCGGTACCAGGGATTGAACTCACGACCGCCTGCTTGCAAGGCAGGTGCTTATGCCGCTGAGCTAAATCCCCAGCCCCCACAATGTCAGATTTTGAGATACCTATTTCTAGTGCTCCTAGTGTGAATGCACACTCATCTGAATAAGATGGTCTCAGGTTGAGCTTTTGTTCTGCAGAGCATTTTAGGTGGTAAGAAAAAAATTTTTGGTGTCTTAAATTACACAGTTTGGAGGATGGAAGGAAGAAGAGATGGGTGAATTACTCAGTTAGCAAGCTACAGGCCTACCACGTTCTGCAATGTAAGTTAAAACCTGTAACTCAGCTGAGTTTGGTGACTGTTTAGTTTCCCCTAGGGAGAGAGACAAAAGGGAGAGTGGCAACAGGAGAAAGGAAAACAGGCCTTTATTGAGGGCCTGGGAGGGCTGCTGAAGAGACTTAGGCACCCTTTAGAAGCTTCAAGGGAAACCTCAGGCTTTCTACTTGGAATTTGACAGGGGCAGAATGAAGTATTGATCCCTGATAGTGTGAAGAATTAACTGCCTGTGCAAAAGCCGAAGGTATGACTTGTGGGTTTGCGAAAAGAACACAAGGGGACGCTGTCCAGCACCAAAGGTCGCTGGTACATGAAGAAAAACCTATGCCCCCCTGTGATCCTAGCTCTTTGGGAGACTGAGGCAGGAGAATCACCACAAGTTCAAGTCCAGCCTTTTCCATGTACTGAGAGCCTATCTCAAACCTCCCTCCAAATAACCCAAATCAAACTCTTTACCTCAAATCTTGACCAGACCCATAGGCATCTGAACATCTGTCTACAGTCCTAGGCAATTCAGAGGCAGCAGGCAGTCACTTCTCCTTCCTGGCTCCTTAAATCCTTCTCCTTTATCCCAGAACTTTCCCTGCTTTCTGCAGTTCACCCTGCTTTGTCTCTAGCCACCACTGGATCAGCGTATATAACATCTACCTTCTCCATAGTTTTGTTACGAAAAACACTTTTTTTTCTCCTTTTTTCCTAAAAACATTTTTTTGGTACTGGGAGTCAAACTCAGGACCTCACACTTGTCAGGGAGGTCCTGTGCCACTGATATCCTGGCCCTGAAAACATTTTTAAAAAGCTCTCAGGGCCTGTGGTGTAGTTGGTGGCGGAGCACATGCTTAGCGTGCTCAAGGCCCTGGGTTGATTGCCAGGACTGTCAGTCAGTCAGTCTGTCTGTCTTCTCAGCTGCGACCCAGTAGACAGCTTGGCTGCACCTGACAGCTTTATTTTATTGCTGGGAGTCACAGGAAGTTGTCCCAGAACGAGGTCCTGCTTTTGTCTGGCATCTGAAGCCCTTCTAGTCAGACATCCCTGAGTCTGAAAGGTTTGGTTAACACAATATTGTGCTATCTGTCTGTGTCTGTTCTTATGAGGAGTCTGAGACCACTGCAGTATTTGCACCCTTTTCTTCTGTCGGTGCTGTACATTGTTTGGCATCTTGTGCATGCTGGGCAAGGGCCCTGGGTTGAGCTACATCCCTAGCTTTTAGATTTTTAAGACTGAGGTCTTACTGAGTTGTCCACATGGCCTCAGTTTTGAGATCTTCTGACCTCAGCTTCTCTCTTTTTTTTTTTTTTTTGTCTTTTTCCTTTTTGTCGGTACTGGGGATCGAACTCACGACTGCCTGCTTGCAAGGCAGGCGCTTATGCCACTGAGCTAAATCTCCAGCCCCTAACCTCAGCTTCTCATGCGCCCATTTATAGCCAGGTGCCAGTGGGCCCGGCGATTTCTGTGTTTGAGAGATTCTTGGATGATTAAGGTTACTTTTTTCAGGGTTGAAATTCTTCCACTTTATTTTATTATTTAGTGTTTTTTTTTGAGACTTTTTTTTTTTTTTTTTTTTGGTGTGCAATGGAACTCACTCCATAGCCCAGGCTGGCTCACACCTGCAGGGCTTCTCCTGCCTGAGCCTCTCAGAGCTGGCATGCCAGGTATATACCACCACACCTGGCTCTGAGGTTGCCTCCTTAATTTTTAAGTTTTAAAATGATTTTATAGGAGAGTTGCAGAAACAATACTACAAGTTCCTATGGATCCTTCCTCTAGTTTTGTATGGTAAACAATGTTGTTTTTGTACCAGGGATGGAACTCACAACCTAGCACTTTGGAGGCAGATGCTTATGCCACTGAGCTAAATCCCCGGCCATGGTAAACAATCTTACATAATCACAGCAGTTATCAAAGCCAAGAAATGAACTTAGTACATACTTTTTTTTTTTGGAGACAGGGTCTCACTATGTAGTTCAGACTGGTCTTAAACACACTTATGTAGCCCAGGATGGCTTCAAATGCTCCGTGATCCTTCTGCCTCAGCCTCCCAAGTGCTGGGCTTACAGGCATGCGCCACTGTGCTGGGCTATACATACTATTAAATTATAGGTTTTATGTGAATTTCCCCTATTTTGCCACTGCTGTCCTTTGTTCTGGATACTATTTTGTATTGATGAAAGGAAAACTGATATGATTGAAATGTAATTTTGAAGGATAAAAGATGAAGGGGAAAAGAACAGGGGGGATTACTCAGTTAATAGCTTTGGGGAGCCCAGACCGACGGGGACATGCCCGAATGAGGGAAGGGACTTCTGTGCAGCTCTCACCCCAGCCAGCTTTCTGGACAGTCAGTCCCCCTTGGTCTGGGAGCTACACTTGCTTCTGCGGGCTGTCCTTCCCTTCCAAAGCCCCTTTAATCCCCTTTCTCTGTAGCTGCTGTAGCTTTGGTGTCCACAGCCAGTGCTCTCCTTCTGTAAATCTTCAGTATAAAAAGACTGTTCTGTTTGTTTCCCTATCATGTTTGTTCAGAAAGGTGCACTGAGTTGGGCTCACATCCCAGGGGAAGGAGACTGCGCGCAGGTCAGTGCAGGTCAGCTCTCTGTGGTGCTGAGGTGGCTGATGGCTGTGCCTCTGGGGTATGGATCTGTTGCCAGGAGCCCCAAGGCAGGGTTAAAGGGTTAGGGCTTTTAGCGCCACACCTCAGCCTGACCAGAGGGGAAAAGGGTTCCGGCCAAGTGGACCCCAGTGACCAGTGAGTTAATCATTCAGGCGGGTAAGGAAGTCTTCACTGAGACCAGAAGGCAAAAGGCGTCCTGCAAGGGGTCTGCCCCCTTCCCATACACGTGGCAGGCTGTGTCCTTCACACCAAACCAGGGAGGAAAACATTTCCCTGCATGCTGAGTTAAGAACCTAGTTCCGGAGCCAGGGATTTAGTGCAGCAGCGTTAAGTGCCTGCTTGGCAAACGCAAGGTTATAGGTTCAATCCCCAGTACCCCCCAAAAAAGTTATGAACCCAGTTTGGAAGCCAAGGACAGGCTGTAGGGCTTCAGGGTGGCCTACCTGCTGGGGCACAAGGCACCACGGGGCTGGAAGCAGCAGTCAGGAGAGGAGGTGTCCAGAGGGAGAGCCCTCAGTGAGGGTCCAGGGCTGGCCTGCGTAGACAGGGTCTCAGCGAGATGGAGTTCGCGGTGGAGAGAACAGATGAGGGGAGCTGAGTTTCACTTTGGTTTTCCTGTGTACAGTCTGTGTGGGCTCATGGCTATTCTTTGGATTTGTTTTCTTTCTTTCTTTTTTTTTTTAATTGTTATGTGATGATTTCATACTGATATTTTTCATTTTTTAATTATTTATTTATTTATTTTTTTTAAAGGACTGGAAAGCGCCCACGGGTCTCGAACCACCAGACCAGTCGGCCTGGGCGGTTGGGAAGCCAGACTCGAAGGAACCGCTGGGCTAAAGCCAGCCCTGATTTTTTTTTACAAAATTCTTTGCCAAAAAAAGGAGAAAGTTTTTCTTCTAAAATCTCATTAATTATCCCTTCAGTTGTAGGGACTGTTTTTCTGTCTTACAAATTCTATTACTGTCTGAAGATGGGCTCACTGAAGGCACTTGTTTTATAGAGTACCTAAAAGAAAATGTACCCAAAAAAAGGAAAAAGAAAAATGTACAAGCCAGGCATAGTGGTGCACACCTATAATCCCAGTACTCAGGAGGCTGAGGCAGGAAAACCGCCAAGAGTTTGAGGCCAGCCTAGGCTACAAAGTGAGTTCAAGGCTGGCCTGAACTGCATAGCAAGAAGGAAAAAAGAAGAAAAAGAGAAAGGAAAGAAAGAGAGAATGAAAGAAAACTAAGTTCTAGCCATTGCTTCCCCCTTTTTCTTATTTAGATTTGTCTAATGCTTGCCTTTTCCTTTTTTTTTAGACATTAAAATACTTATCAAAAACTCCGTGCAGACACCAGAGTCCTGAGATTGTCAGAGAATTTCTCACAGCAATGAAAAGCCACAAACTGACCAAGTAAGTGAAAGTCATCTTACCTAGGGAAGTAGTGGAAAAGCTGTTCTCAGCAGCTGTACAGTTAGGGTTTCATTTTTTTTTTTTTTTTCCTTTTTAAGATCAAATATATCCCATGTATATGTGTATGTATGTGTTTTTTTGTTTTGTTTTGTTGAGACAAGATCTTGCTGTGCAGTTCAGGCTATCCTTGAGCATACTACAGAACCCAAGTTGGCCTTGAATTCACAGTGATCCTCCTGCCTCTTCCTCTTAAGTGCTGGGAGTATAGGTGTGCACCACCACACCTGCCCACATGTGTATGTTGTTAATTTAAATTACTTTAGTTAATTTTAGGCAGGTAAGGCCGGCCTTGAGGTCACTATGTAGCCAGCAGTCCTCCTGCCTCAGCTTCCGGAATGTTGGAATTGCAGGCCTGCATCACCATGCCCGGCTTGGCCTCCACCACACTGTTCCACCACACTGTTTTTCTTGGTGACTACACCTTTTTAGTCTCACACCAGTGCACAATTTCAGGTTTTCCAAAGCACCTTGCCTCTGTGTGTATGTGTCTGGTTTTATTTTTAATATTCAAAATGATAGAACGATGCTGAATATCATTTCATGTGCATGTTGACCATCTCTGTATCTTCTTTGGAAAAAATGCCTAATTTATCCTTTGTCCATTTTGGAATGAAGCTTTTGTTTTCATTGAATTGGAGCAGTCTTTGATACACCCTGGGTATGAATCTCTTATCAGATAAAAGACTTGCAGATGTTTTCTCCCATTCTGTAGATTGCCTGTTTGCTTTGTGGGTAGTATCCTTTTAATGGCCAAAGTTTTTATTTTAATGTAGCCCAATTTGTTTGTTAGTTTATTGAGACAGAGTTTCTCTGTGTAGTTTAGGCAGGTCTTAAACACAAATCCTCCGGACTTAGCCTCCTGGAATGTACTACCTTGCCTGCCTCTGTTTTTTGTTTGCTTGTTTGTTTTGGTACCGAGGATTGAACTCATGACCTTGGACTTGTCAGGCAGGTGCTTATACTGCCAAGCTAAATCCCCAGTCCCTCCTGCCTCTGTTTTAATGCTTCCTGTTCCTTTGGTGTCATATCCCAGAAGTCACTGCCAAATCCAGTGTCATGAAGCTTTTCTCTTAAGAATTTTATAGGTTAGTTCTTATGTTTAGGTCTGACACATTTTGAGCTAAATTCTTGGTAGAGTATAAGGAAAAGTAGAGGTCCCAGTTCACTATTTTTCAGCACTATGTGTTTGTTTTGTTTGTTACTTTGTTTTGTTTTTTTCCAAATCCATTTTATTTTAAAGAGAAAGAAAAGAAAATTTTCAAAACACAACAATCAGAGGACAGCAGTGGCACATACATTGTGCATTGCCTCTAGGCCCCCAAAGGCTCACCTTCCGGCTTTGAGTCTGCTGAGCAAAATCTGTAGCTGGCTCCTCAAAAAGGGGTCAAGGCTATGATTTTCAGTTAGGCACAGAAAGTGTGGGTGGAGGTGGTGCATGTCTGCAATCCTAAGATTCTGGAGGCTGAGACAGGAGGATCAGAGTGAGTTTGAGGCCAGAATGGGCTACATAGCGAGTCCAGGCCAGCCTGAACTGCAAAGTGAGACCTTGTCTAAAAAAATGAAAAATAAAACGCACTGGTCAGTGCTGGGGGGGAGGCACCCTACAAAATATTTTCTTAATTTGCCTTCAGATCATTCCTTGTTAGGGTTTATAGACACAACTAATAATTGTATGTTGATTTGGTATCCTGTTGTCTTGGTAAATTCATTCATTGGCAGTAACATGTTTCATAAGGAGTGTCTTAAGGTTTTCTGGAATGTAAGATCATAACCCCCTGCACTGAGGTAATTTTTGTCTTTCTTTCCACTCTATGCCTGTTCCTTGTCTTACTCGATTGCTCTGACCACAGCTTGATAGACTGTTAAGTAGGAGTGACAAAAGAAGGCCACACATTGACACAGACATCACACAGCTCCAAGAGGCGGATCTGTTAGAATAGGCTAGACTGCAGCGGGAATACTCTGTGAACTGGGAGCCTAGGGAGTCCTAGCGTGGGCTGCTCTGCAGGTGCTGCTGACAGCCAACTCCGGTTTACAGGCGGATGAATGGTCACTCAGGAAATTAAATCCCTGTTCTAAGTCTGCCGAGTAGAATCTATAAAGCAGCAGTGAAGCCTGGTAATTTAACGTAAGCTTGCGTGGTTTTCTTTGAAAGCTGGTGAGTGCTCATGTAAAGGCGGAGAGCGGGTGCACCCCCAGCTCTCCCTGCTGGGCTATGAACGTGTGCACGTGGGCACTAAAAAGACACTGCTTTCAGAGTGGGGCTCTTTCCTTTCAGATGCCTGCACAGGGACACTCCAAATATCTTAGAATAATGCAGGGTTTATATATAAATACTTGTTTAAATGATCCATCATGTGTTTCACATATGAACATCCGTTTGTATTACAGAAAAGTTCCATTGTCCCTATAAACAACTCGTTCTGTCCGCTGTCTGACAGCAGATCTGTTTCTTGCAGTTCTGCCTTTGCAGAAAAGTAGAAGTGAGCTGCCTTCCTGTGGAGCCTCTTCTCTGGCTTCTTTCACTTAGTGTGATGCACTTGCGATTCACCAATGCTGCTCTGTGTGTGGCTGCAGTTTCTTCCTTTTATTGTTGAGAGACCTCCATCATCAAGAGTAGTTTTTTTTTTTTTTCATCCCCCAGTTGAAAGACATGGTGAAATTTTCTAGTTTTTGGCAATTCTGAGTAAAGAGTGACAACTCCTTACAGATGGCTCTGCTGTGGATCTTAATGGTCCCCAAAGGCTCACGTGCTGAAGGGCCAGGTCACTGGCTGCGGCCCCCTGGGGAGATGGGACCTAGTAGCAGGGGTTCAGGTCATCGGCGAGTCCCTGAAGGGGACTTGGGGATGACCCCCACCCCACCTCCCCTTTGCTGCCAACTCAGCTCCACCACCAGCTCTCCCACCCTGATAGTTCCACAGGCCTAGGTGACATGGCCCAACAACCATGGACTAAACCCCCTGAAGCTGTGAGCTGAGGAAATCTTTCTTTTATGAGTTGACTGTCTCAGGTATTTTGTCACAGCAGCAGAAAGCTGAGTAGCACATAGGTTTCTGTGTAAAATAGCTTTCATTTCTTCTGGGCACTTAACCTGGGAGAGGAATTATGGGTCACACAGCAAGTTGAACTTTGCAGGAAACCACTAGACTTTCCCAAAGTAACTACCATTTTTCATTTACCACAGCAGTGTCCGAGAGTTTCACTTATTCCATATCCTTGATACTTTTAGTTTTAGCTATTAAGTTGATTTTAAGTAATAATTCTGCTATGTCCTCAACTTGCTTTCCTTTAGTAATAAGTATTAAGCCTGTTCATGTGCTTATTTGCTGTTCGTTTATCTTTAATGAAGGACCTCCTCAAAGCTTTGGCTCATTTTTTGTGAAACTGTAGGAAGTTCTTTCTGTCGTCTGTACAGAGGTTCTGTTTTCAGTATGTGACTGTCAGGTGTTTCCTCCAGTCTCTAGCTTGGCTTTTCCTTCTAACAGTGACTCTGTCAGAGCTGCAGGTTTTAATTTTGATGAGATCAATTTTGTTTTTCTTTTCTGCATCCTGTTCTTGATGTTGTGTCTAAGAATCCTGCCAACCCAAGGCCACAGAGATGTTTTTCTCTTATGTTTTCTTGTAGAAATATGTGATTTTGAGTTGATTTTGAGTTAATTTGGGGGCTTGGTCTGAGTTACAGGTGGATATTCACTGTGTGTGTGTATTTAACTCTCCAGCAACGCTGTCAGGACTGTCCTATCTGCTGAGCCACTGCCATGGAAGAGGAATGGGCATGCGAAGAACGCCCAGGGCTGCAGAACGGGCAGCCTGGTTCTGTGGGCCACACATCCTGTGTTGTTTTGTCTCTGCTCTGTTGTTCGGGTCACAGCAGCTTTAAGATAAGCACAGAGAAGGGCTGGAGATTTAGCTCAGTGGTGTAAGCGCCTGACTGGCAAGTGTGAGGTCATGAGTTTGATCCCCGATACCAAAAAACAAAGATAAGCACAGAGGCAGGAGTATGACTTCTTCAACTTTGTGACTTTGGTTTTTTTTAAAGAGGACTTTTCCAAAGTATTTTGACTTCTCCAGTTCCTTTGCCTTTTTATGTACACTTTTGAATTTTTTCAATGCTGTGTAGAACAAATCCTGCTGATATTTCGCTTGGGATTGCATTGTACTTACAGTTCCATTTTGGGGAGAGTTCACAGTATTGTATCTTTCAGTTCATGCAGGCAGTGTAGAGGTTCTGCACAATTTTTTTAGATTTGTCCAAAGTATTTTATAATTTTTGATGTTATTATATAAATGGTTCTGATTTCCATTTGTTTGTTGTTAATGTAGAGAAATATGCATGAGTTCTCTGTTGATCTTATGCCACCCAACCTGGTAGTTCTAGGAATGTTTCTAGCATACCTCCGGATCGTCTCTGTAGGCAGAGTATTTGTGCACTGCTTCTCCATCTGTGTGTTCTCTTCATCTGTGTGTTTTATTTTTGTTCCCATGTGCACTGGCAGGACCTTGGTGGGTGCTGCACAAAGCCATGGCACAGAGACCTTCGCCTGGTGCACAGATCCCTGGGGAGGGTACTCAGGGTTGGGCCATTCAGCATGGCATCAGGTTAGGTTTCTCCAGATTTAGCTCAGTGTAGAACACTGAGCTAGCAAGCTGGAAGCCCTGGGTTCAGTCCTTAGCACCAAAAACATTGTTTAAAAATGAGGTTAGGTTTTCCATGGAGGGTTTTTTTTTTTCCTAACCAGGTTTAGGAAGATAAAATTGCTGATATTATTAGATTTTATCAGTTGCTTTTTCTGTATATATTGAGATATTCAGATGGTCTTGGCCTTTCATCTTTTTAGGTTACCCTTTGGCAGTATCTTTTTTGTACCATTTGATTCTTAATTTTCAGTGGCTGCGTAATCATAAACTATAAACACCTCAGCATACCTAGTCATACAT